CAGTCCCTTCTCTGTCAGAGTCCACATCCTATTTGAGGAAGAGACAAACACACACAGGCAGTTCTCACTTTGCATGGTGTTGACATGCATGAATGTCAGTTTCCAAAGGTCAGTTAAATACCATCAGTGCCCCAACACTTGGTTTCAGTTTCATTTACCATGGAGGAATTTTCCATGAGCAATTGCATGAAGTACAAACTTTGCTGCCAGCTCTTCTTCAGGCCACGAATCTCTATGTAACTAACAGGTGCTCATCACGATAAATAAGCATCAAATCTTTCAAAGCCTGTAGTGGTGGTTCTCTGTGACTCCGTTACTCACTTTCCCACAGACAGTAATGCAGGTGGTTGTGTTGTCTCCTGGTCTCCCAGCGAGGAACCCAGGTGACATTGTACAAAAGTGAATAGTGGCAAAAGGGAATTGGCACAAAGCTGAAAGTGTGATGTAGAAATGAAAAGAGATGAGACTAGAGGTGAAGTTCAAACTGAATGTGAGTGGGCCTCATGAAGGCAGAGCTACCACAGGAATCGTGACTGGGATGCTGGTCCCTAGAGCATGGATATGCAGCCAGAGGAGCAGAATGAAGGCAAACTTACAACATCACTGAAGTCGTCGTGGTGGTTGGGAGGGGGGGTGGGCAAAGGGTGAAAATGTCCCAGAGGATGTGACACCAGAAATATTCAAATTAATATTGTAAGGATTTCACAACATCAAAAGTGGAAGGGATGGAATGTTGGAAGCTGATCCCAACTGAGACTGGAGTGATTCAGATGCTGGCTCTGTATGGTCAACTATGTGATCAGAAGAGGCCAAGCACTGTGCCCACTACTCTTGATGACTCTTTATAAAAAAATAAAACACTTCCTTTTTCAGTGTTTCTAATGTTTGAAATGACAGTACACCAAATAAATAATAGTTTTATTGTTTTTTCATTTCTCTATACATTCATAACTGACAGTTGGAGAATTTCTGTGTTTTGAGAAATGTTTTTAAAGGTCACAGAAAAATTGTTTTTCTCCCACTGATTATTGAGATGACTTTGCATGGTTTCAGCTGCACCGTCATTGTTCTGTCCTGCACTATTATACAAAGTGAGCACTTATCATGTCAGCTAATCATAAGTACTAAGGCAAGAATTTAATTAGATTATGAGCTGTGGGAACACAGACTGAGAGAGAGGAACTGATATTTTATATAGGGTGGTTTATGGAAAGGGCTTTTAATAAAGGGACATGTCAGCAGAGCTTGAAAGAGGGAGTGAGTGAGTCATGCAGGTTCACAGGAGGAAGAAGCAGAGGAGAGACACAGTTTGACTTCCATTTCCACAGAATCACTGTGGCTGAAACTGGAGAGCCTGTTAGAGAAAAAGCAATAGTCCAGGAAGGGATGCTGGTGGCTGAGACCAGGGAGCAGCCCTGGGAGTGAGCAGTGTGTAGATTCTGGGTGGAGCTCACTGGGGTGTGGGAGGAGACTTGCACTCACTCCTGAGAGCTTTTCAGGAATTTTGCAAGTGAATTGTTAAACACTTTCAGCCTGTAATTGGTCACAGTGGGAGTGTTGACACCACAGAAGTCCACAAGCACTACCAATCAGGCTTCTTTTCCTTTCTGAGAGTAGATTGTTTCACATTTACCATCCCAACACTGGTCACAGCATTCTGAAGGCAGAATTGAATGTGGAATATAAAGAAAGAATGTTAAGGATGACTCCAGGTTTTTGGACTGCCAGCTCGAGTACATGAGCAGTGGGGTTGGGAAGGATGAAGGTGACAGAACAGTGTTCCCATCACAGGGAGGAGGGACTCTTCCCTCTGGGACTGAGGAGTAGCATAACACATGTAGGCAAAGAGGAAGGAGAATCATTTCTCCTCTGCAAACCAGGATGGGAT